ACAGTTATGCTTGATGACACTCTAAGAGTCTTTACCCGAGGATGTAGAGCCCCGTGGCTAGCCTAGTCGCCACGAACTGTTCATGTTAAGATATCTATAGTCACACCCCCCCCCCCCCCCCCGACAGGATAAATCCATCGCCTTCGCGCGTATTGGAACCGAGAGCACGCTTTTGAGAGCCCATAGTTCTTGAGATCAGTTTCGAGTATGCTCAGAAAAACAGACGGACGGACGGGTGGGTTCAGATATTCAACATGACAGACAGACAGAAGACATGTAGACAGACAGAGAGACATACAGACATGACAGACAGACAGAGAGGACAGGACAGGTCAGAGAGACAGACATATAGATAGATAAAAAGGCACAGACAGACAGACAGACAGACAGACAGACAGACAGACAGACAGACAGACAGACAGACAGACAGACAGACAGACAGACAGACAGACAGACAGACAGACAGACAGACAGACAGACAGACAGACAGACAGACGTATATGACAGACAGACAGAGAGGACAGACAGACAGAGAGGACAGGACAGGACAGGTCAGACAGACAGACAGACAGACAGACAGACAGACAGACAGACAGACAGACAGACAGACAGACAGACATGTAGACAGACAGAGAGACATACAGATATGACAGACAGACAGAGAGGACAGGACAGGGACAGACAGACAGGACAGACAGACAGACAGACGACAGACAGAGACAGACAGGACAGACAGACAGACGACAGACAGACAGACCAGACAGACACAGGCAGGCAGGCAGGCGGCAGGCAGGCAGGCTGGCAGGCAGAGAGATAGATAGATAGATAGATAGACAGACAGACAGACAGACAGACAGGACAGACAGACAGACAGACAGACAGACAGGACAGACAGACAGACAGACAGACAGACAGACAGACAGACAGACAGACAGACAGACAGACAGACAGACAGACAGACAGACAGACAGACAGACAGACAGACAGACAGGACAGACAGACAGACAGACAGACAGACAGACAGACAGACAGATAGATAGATAGATAGATAGATAGATAGATAGATAGATAGATAGATAGATAGATAGATAGATAGATAGATAGATAGATAGATAGATAGATAGATAGATAGATAGATAGATAGATAGATAGATAGATAGATAGATAGATAGATAGATAGGTGGGTGGGTGGGTGGGTGGGTGGGTGGGTGGGGGGGTGGGTAGGTACGTAGGTTAGGTAGCCTTGTAGGTAGGTAGGTAGGTAGGTAGGTAGGTAGGTAGGTAGGTAGGTAGGTAGGTAGGTAGGTAGGTAGGTAGCAGATGGATCCCAACAGTCTGGCGAGATTGATGTTAGGGGTAGTGACGAGAGGTTCTGGCAGATGCTTGAGACTCAGGGGAAAGTCAAGACGGCCGTTTAATCAGAATGCTACTGGCACCATTCGTATAGGAACTTTTCGCTGGCTGCTGAAGATGGGGACGGAGCGCTTATGGGAATATCCCGAATGCTGTGATGTCGGTTCTTGAATCAAATCAAATTAAATCATAAATAGATAAGTATGTAAGCAGATCAGCATGTACATAGACAGGCTGTCTGGCAGGCTCTCCTGTCTCTCCTTCCTCCCTCTATCTCTCCATACCTCTCCCCCTCTCTCCCTACCCCCTCCCCTCATCTCTTTTCCTCTACTGAGAGCAATATTTTCTTTATTTAGCATCCCTCCTAGAACATTGCAGGAAGTGACAACGATGATCTCTCGGGATCGCAGGAAAAACAATTACTGTCGTCAAGCGATGGACACAGCGGGACTCGGAAGCTACAACCTTCAGAGCATAACAGGTTAACCATGTGACCACAAAGACTCCCAGAAGTAACGACAACAGAAAACCAAGTTAGTTGCGTATCCCTTTACACAACGCTACAGAACCCCCCTAGCATTTGTGTGTGTGTGCGGCTGTTCGTGAATTTTAGTAGGTAATTTCAGGTTCAGAAGTTTTGCCACCCAAGAAACTCTTCTTAACCGACTTTGCCAGCTGTTAACTCGGGAGCCACGCTCTGGTTTTTTTTGCCTTCTTCAGACATTTTATCTTGTTCCAGAACTTGATTTGTTCGTGCATATCAGTTCTACAGATCCGATCTGTTTGTGTGCAGACACTTGGTTTTCTGATGCCTCTGAAGTAGATGCATTCCCACTATGAAATAAACATCCTTGCATAATTAATTAACTAAAAGGATATGCCTATTAGGGGCAGTAGATCTGTTTCTCCCCCCCCCCCACTTCCACCCCAATGGGGCCCCGAAACACACACGGGCAGAAAAGAGAACAGAACACGGATCTTACCTGTAGCTCACACTTCCGGTGGCAGATGTACCGACACACTGAAAGCAGAAACCAAATAACACACACATGAAACTGTCATCGTTACACGAATGTTACATGTTATAGCAGACAAGAGGCAGACAGCGAAACAGGTGGGAGACAAGGGATGGACCAACACCAGACTG